TTAACAATCGTTTTTGACAAGGGAAGGAAATCGAAGCGGCCAATCTAAACAAGCTGCATACCCTTACATGCTTCATAAAACGCTGACTTCGAATCTGTATTCCATATTTGATTAGCGCCTGTGTGGGTGAAGTTATGAGCCGTTAAAGACCGTTATTTTGCTAGGAAGTCGTGCACGCAAAGCGTAAATTTTGGCAGTGCGCGCCATGTACGGCCAAAATATGCAACTAGGTTGCTTCTTAAACTTTTTGCCCAAAGATGAGCTGAAAGTGTAACAATGTGCTCAATTTCACAATTTCTACGTACGATTTTTTTTGAAATAAAACTGCTCACAACTTCATTCACAAAAGCGCTTAGCAGATATGGAATATAGATTCGATTAGCGTTGAATGCTGCATCGAATGGTAGGCAGCCTGCTTGGAATGGCCACTTCCACTTCTGATCATTCGTTTGTGAGATGCCGGAGGCTCTCAGACTGCCGCCATAGGAAAAACCATGCTAAAATCATCAACAAGTGTGGAAAAAGCGCGAATATAAGCAAAGAAAAAGTTCAGGGAAAAAAGGAAATTTTAGAAAGTATGCAAAAATTTGTAAAATTGCTGGCAAGTGCCTTTTCGGCGTAATCATGACGTGTATACTCTTCATTTATTAGGTTTGAACTAAGAGCTCTTAAGCTTCCGCATTTTGGATCAAAAAGAGGAAATCTAAAAAGAATTATCAGTCCTAGCGAAATTATCATACAGCCTAATATGCTATTATGTTCAAAAAGAAATGTTTTAGGATACTCAGTTGCTGATTAGCAATATTCAGCAAGGCTATGTCATCCACCATGTTGTCCATTGTTACAAGGAAAATGGTGAGCTTTAATAACAGGTTTCTAGAAAAAATGGCAGTTCTACCGAAGGTTTCGAAGAAAGCCTGAGAGGAAATCCTATTTGCATGTTTCGAACTCGGGATTGTCGAAACACAGGGTGCTAGAAAGTTTGTGGTCTCCAGTACACACGTCGTTAGATGCACTTTTGTTTACTACTTTGTTCGTCTTCGTGGGCACATTCAGATCAGCCTTTCTTACGAGTTCTCCTGTTTCGGAACGTATTGGACTCAAAATGTCAGTGTTTTAGGGATTATGGAATTTGTACACTAATGAACTTAGATTTATATCCTTAGTGTCACACGGTAGGACTACCGTATTTCTTAAAGGACAAGTCTTTCTCGCTGCTCTGGATGTATGTACACTTCTTTGTCCGTTTCTCTTATGAAGGTTCTCATACACTGAACCTCACAATAGGAGCAGACTGGTTGCCAAGACATCGCCAAACGAGCTGGAATTTGCCGTTGGGGATCACCCCTTGTTTCCAAAACATCAACCTTTCTATGAGTTCGATGAAAACGTCGCAAAGTTGTACTGAGGATCTGTTATATGGCCGCTAATTGTAGGCATATCAACTACGGGACAAATGGAAAGTGAATTGCGAATTTGATAAATCCCAATTCGCGAGCATTGGTCCATGGAAGAGTGCAGTAGCCTGAGAACTTGTTTGCAATGGTAGATCCTCAGCACAGCTTTAGGACTTCGTCAGGTCTATGAGAAGATATGCAATTTTGGGAACAAAGAGTTTTTTTCAGGGAGGATCAAAATGGTAGAATTTAGTTTTCGGCAATGCCCTGGCACCCATTACGCTCAGGTGTCAGGATATAAGAACTTTTATGAAGTAGATAGACAAGGAGGGATACAGATATGTAGAGCAGCGAGCTATGATGCGTCACTTCTCAGCTCCGCTCACCTCTTCAGTGAGAATGTACGTGCATACGGACTTTCGATTTTTGGCACAGCGCTATTGTACCTGATTAGCACAACGATAGCGTGACCCACATGTGGGTCATGTCGGGGAGTACATTCGTTGCACAGGCTCTCTTCCTCCCTGAGCCTAGAGATTACTTTCTCGTTTCTTGGCTGCTTTTTAGTTGCTGCAGGTTTAGCGTAGATGCCGATCTGCGTGATTTTAGCAAAAATTTCGATACTCCAAAAAGGCAGTCAGCCAAAAATGCGCTTTGTTGTCAACGTGTTAACTAAATTACTTATACTGGTGTTCTTGGGAACACCCTCGGTTGTAAAAAAAGGTACTTTTCCGTTATCCGGACCCATTTTTTCAAAGAAAGATATTGGCCCGAAGTAAACCCCTCTCAGGGATCTGCCCTGAGACGGACCTGAGTTGATCGTATGGCGCCTCGGTCTAGCATCCCGCGAGCTATTGATCCAGATGCGGATCGCTTTTCAGGCATAAAAATCTTGCGCGCTATCAAAGAGGAAACACCTATATCTCTTGTGCAGATTTGGTCAAACAGGTATGTGACGGGTACTCAGCCCGCACGACCGTGGTTCGGCGCCGGGCAGTGGCGACTTTGCGCATCACTGAGCAACCTTTGATAGCGGCCACCATCGAAAAAAATCGATGACGGCCGCTATCAAGGAATCCACAAACCAAATGAATGCATAAAACAAAACTGCGTTTTCTTAACCAAAATTTCATCAAAAATTGAGGAAGTAGGGAAAATCGAATGGAAATAAATAAAGAGATCGTCGCTCTGAGTAACTTTTGTAGAAAAAACCTAAGCAAACTCTGCAAAAAGGAAAAAACCTATTTTTCTGTTTACCGAAATCAGCTGCTCATTGATCCTTTCCTTCTTGGGCACCGGTATTATGCAGTTTTGCGCGTTCTTGTACTGCAACAATACGTCAAGTACGATGTCCTGTAAGTTACTCACGAACAACTTACGGGGTTTTTCTCTGCGTCTCATCCCTTGCACACTATTTCGGTCAATTCATCTCAAAATCGAAGCTGCTCTTACGGATTTCAGGTGAATTCATCGCGGCACATGCCCTGACGCTAACCCTTCGGATCATTTCGCATTGTTAAACATGTGAGAGTGACCGCTAGTCAGTTTATCTTAAATACCTCAACTCAGCCCCTCAGTTGAGATCATCTGAAGTGAAGTGGGGTTCACTACGGGCCATTGTTTCTATCCTTGTACCATATTTTGTTCCAGCTTCATAGGAAGGAGTGTCAACCTTCTGCCACGTGCCAAAAAACTTTGACATGTCATCTACATGCTTAGGTTTTACCAAGAGTTTGTGTTACCCTACCTAGCGATGTAGTTTCAATCTGTTATTTAGTTAATTCTGACCTCATTTTGATCAAAGATTTTCAAAATGAACATTGTCACAATAATGACGATATACTATTACCAGTGCGTCACCTCTGCTTCGCAGAGGCTCGCACTGGCTCTACTATCTATGTGCCTTACTCATTCTCGTAAAATCGTGGCAATGGAACTTACCGCACTATGCCGACTACCACGAATTAAATGTAAACAGCTACTCATTCAGAAAGTTTTTTCACGTGAGATCGGTGATTTCGCGTGGATGAAACTTTTCGTAGGAAGACAAACGCAAATTTGAATAGGTTTTTGAAGTTGTCATGGCTTGGTAGTCCCCTTAAAGGCAATAGTAACCGTGAGCTACATCTCCGTGCGAAAATCTTTTGAAACGCTTAGCTAGAACCTTAGCAAATTAACCATTTACGCAACCAACTCTTTCTGGCGCCGTTTTCGTTATGTAGCAAACTTTTGACCACTTTTTGGGCTAAAGTCCATCGCTTGCACATTTGCTTACCAAACACATCCAGGACTTTGCAAAAAGTGGTGATATGGACCCAATTTTGCGGGACAGAAGCCAGGTGGATCCGTTTGGCGCGCAATTTCTGAGGGACCCATTCAACGAATCTATTCGTGCTTTTGCACGTTGAACTTTCATGAAGGTAGCATGGGCTATGCAAAATTTCGGCTTAAAACGCTGGCTGGAACACGCTCTACGAATTTCGTAACAGACGGACACACACACACACAAAAACACGTAAACAACCCTTAGCCCGTTATTATAAGGTCTTGATAGATGAACAGTCTAGCTTACTCAGAATAGAGAAATTCGCTAGGATCCCGTAAATTGTAAGGCGAAAAAGCAGCAGCAAAGTGCTTTAAGCTATCATTTATAGCCTTTTCTGGCTATGTTCATATGGTGAAAAGGGTTTGAAGAGAAAGGCATTTTTGATCAATGCTGAAAGCAAGCAAGATGTTCTAAAATAAGTTTGATTGTCTTGCTCTTATGTAAACCAGTCGAACAGCTTCAAAATGATCACGATGTCTCTTTTATCTCACCGGAAATGATTTCGAAAAAAAACATGTCAAAATGAACCAAAACGAGTCAATTTTTTCGTGACACTGGAATCTATGAAAAGTTATTCTTAGACTAAAGAACATATAATATGAGAGGCTCAAAAAAATTGGGTCCGGATAACGGAAAAGTACCAAAAAATTATCTCAAGCATCTTCATCTTCCTTACCCGTTCCACCAACTAGCAGACGTCTGTACATCTCGATCTTTGTTCAGGTAAAGTATACGTTCACTTCGGACAAAGCATGGAACGCTGGAACATTCAAGAAATACAAGGCAAGCACTCATTCAATCACTCTTCTGATGATTATAATAATAGCATTAATCACTAATGCTTATTTGTGACATTCGTAATGTCCTACTACAGCAAAATCTGCAGAAGGATTTATTGGCGTGTGGTGTTCATTTCCGTCATTTGCTTCGCTTTGTTGGTGGTTTTCAAAATTTTCCGCTGGATTCTCGCTTCCAGTTTGTGTTACGCATTATCCCGACACAACTCCGTAGCTCAAAGTTCGCTAAAAATTGATGAGGTCAACAAAAAGCGATTTGAGTTTAAAATCTTCATCATCAATGTTTGCATAAATCGATAGAATCCAATGGGAGCTGTTCTCATCTGTGCAGTCATTAATGCAGGAATTCACACTGAACCGTCATCCAGATCCCTTATATATTCTGAACGCGGAATGATATAGACTGCCGATACTACCAGCTAAACATAGTTTCAGTCAAGCACTTTGTATGTAGGAATGTTCATTTGCTAGTGGTGTAAATCCTAGTGCAGCTGTATCTGAAGGGCTTTATTGTATTGAAGCTTTGCAGCACCATTCATAGTAGATTTTACCTGCCTGGCTCACTTTTCAAGTTATTTTGTGAACTTCATTTTGAAGTTAAGGTACCTTTCATCCGCCTACTCTACTCCTATAAAGTGCAAAGATGGACCAGGCCTCTGCTCAGGATAAAAGCCAGAAGTGTAGGTGGTTATTAAGAATAAATACTTTTGCATAAGTAGCACAGTAGACTGCCGTGAAGATGGTTTGGTGGTAGTGGTCGTCCTGCCCATCGTTTACAAGCTTCACTTCAAGCACTCTGAAAGACGCGGTGGGGAGTGAAAATGAGACTGACGGAAAGCAAACGTCGCCGTTCTTTTCCTGATATCGACTTCGTCTTTTTCTTTAAGTTCGGTACTGTCCTGATCCTCTTTCCTCTTCTTGGAATAACACGTGCAGCGACGCTCTTGACCAATAAGACTTCTCTGCTATGTAGCTGCAAACTATAATTAGCTTCCAATCACCGCAGTCCTACTGTAAATTGGAATAAACCCTGCTGCTCGGTACATCGAATAGGAATGGATTTAGAGTTGATCAGGTTCATCCTTGTTTCGGTGTTTAAAATTAAGAAACCAGTGGATCCTATACTATATTCCAGCTATCTCGTGATCCGGAAAAGTGCCAGTTTACAGCGACTTGCCGCAAAGTCATTTCTAATATGTACAGTTCTTGCCTGTCCTTCGAAAAATTTACGAACGCACATCCGGCAAACTTACGATCGCACACCAAGACAAATTGAGCGTCAGAGACCCTCCGGTATTGTGCCGTCAGTTCGCTGCACTTAAGTTGAAGGTGGTAGTTCGTAAGAGTTGACGAAAATAGTGTATGAAGGCGGTAAATTAGAGGAAAATTCTATAAGTTACGCGTGAGTAGCTTATGGGGCAGTAAAGCGGACAGCAAGTGAAAAAAACCATACAATTTCTGGGACATACAAGTACAAGAAAATCAATGAAGAGCTAGTTGCAGTCACGGAAATAAGGAGATATTTTTATTTTGAGGAGGCCTTTTGAATTTCATTGATACTGCTTAGAATAGAGCGAAAAATATTACGCAAAAGTTGGTGCAAAACTTCTGTCGTTTCATTTTCAAAAATTTGTAACTTCGCGAGATTTCAACGGATTTGTTTGCTTGTAGTTTTATTGAAAAGATTAGGTTTTCCGCTTTCAACCTTTGTTTTGTGGAGCTTTTGTTTCACACTGAGTACAGAGATAAAAATGGAAAACTAAGACCATGTAAACTTTGATCATTTTAAATTAGGTCACCAAAAATCTGGAATGCTGCAAAAAAATCTGAAATCGTCAGTACATATGTTTTTTGAACTACCCTTTGCATCTGTTAAAAAATTGTGCTGTTTGGACGTTTCTGTGAGAAGTTATGAATATCGAGTTTGCTATGGAAAACGCCAAAATTAATTAATTTGTCAATTTTCGCGAAAATCATAACTTCTCACAAAGACGTCCAAACAGCACAATTTTCTTACAAATGCAAAGGGTGTGTCAAAAAACATATGTACTGACGATTTTAGATTTTTTGCAGCATTCCAGACTTTTGGTAACCTAACTTAAAATGGTCAAGGTTTACATGGTTTGTTCTTACAAGGAAACGATACTCGGTGTCCGTGACCTTTTGAGATGAGTTGTATACCATTACACTCGTCTTGGAACGCTGATTCCGAATCTGACTTCCGTTTCTGCTAATCGCTTCAAAGATGTTTTAAGGGATTGTGCGGGCTTTGGCTGTCCACTGAAATACGTTCGACGCGGCAATGGTTCCGGTGCGGTGTGGTCTAGTGGTTAGCGCGATAGGCTCATGGGTTGATGCAGTTGTAGGTTCGAATCCTTTTGTGTTTTTCAGTTTTGCATTGCCTCAATAAACTTCTTTCGCATCTTCAAGCTAACTGGACGCCCTTACCCTTCAAAAAATGTGGAAATTTGGAAAAAATTTACTATTTGCGTTAAAATGTATCCAATGACCATAATTTAAGTGAATCTCGAACAATTTTAATTGAGGTAGTGCAAAACAAAAACACAAAAGGATTTGAACCTACACCTGTATCAAGTTATGAGGCTATCACACTAACCACTAGACTATAACATGGCGCCGGTAGGGGCCGTTCTGGTGACCATACCCTTGGCGGATAAAGTTGGCTCGAAATTCCTCCATAACTTCCTTCAGAGAAACGATTAGCAGAAACGGAAGTCAGATTTGGAATCAGCGTTCGAAGGCGAGTGTAATGATATACATCTCGTCTCAAAAGGCCACGGACATTGGGTATCGTTCCCTTATTAGTTTTCCATTTTTATCTCTGCACTCAGTGTGAAACAGAAACTCCACAAAACAACGATTGAAAGCGGAAGACCTAGTTTTTCTAATAAAGTTACAAGCAAGCAAATCCGTTGAAATTTCGCGAAGGTACAAATTTTTGAAAATGAAACGACAGCACTTTTGCACCAACCTAATAGTTATATTTTATCTTTTTACTAGATGGCATACCCGGTCTTGCCCGGTTCATGAGCCACGGAGCCAGAAGAAGGAGGGGGAGCGCATAAAATATGTGTTCTGCTTCAAAACCTACGCCTTTTCATCTTTCACTCCGCTTCCATCTGCTGCATTCCCCCCCCCCGGCTTCCTTCTCCGGTCAGGCAGCCTATATCCACCTGCATGGTGCATTGTAATTGCAAATGCCTACCTCAAAGCAGCATCATCTGGAAGCATCCTTCTGACCGCAAAATGCGAATGAGCTTCTCTGCTGTTGTTTACACCAAAATGTGCAAGCGGTATGGTAGCGGTTGATAAGGCTTCAGTTCTATTGCTAGGTGCCACAAATCAATAAATCGTTAGAAAATCCCAGCAAATCGCCTCAAAGAGTAGCCTAAAACCATCTACAGGGTCGAAAACATATATGTGCAAAGTTTCAGGTTAGCTGGTTCACGCGTAAGAGAGTCTATAAAAACCAACGGTCCAGAGTTGCACAACTTTGGCTTTTACAAATATATAGATTAGTTCCTCAACAATTGTGATCCTTATGGGTTCTATTCTGAAATATTGTAAATCCGTTTTGTCTTACTGTTTGTTAGGCACGATCTTTGATAGCAGTCACCATCGTTTGTTTGATAGTGACCGCTGTCAGAGATGGCGTTTCAAAGCAGTAGAAATGATGTCACAGCCGCTCTTTATGCCCATATTTGAAAACAAACGGTCTTTCGATTACAAGTCGATCTGCACCAAAACCTACGGCACTAATGATACTGTGCTCAGGCTCCGATCAAACTTCAACCCGTCCTTGAGTTGCGATGACGCGGGCTTTCTGTGGGCCTTATTTCAAATCTATATTAATCTATCTTAAATCTTAATCTATATGGGTAATTTGACATTTGCAAAACTGCTCGCTGTTTCTAGCAGCTGGTTTTTATTGCATGCCAGAAACGCTAGAACAAACTGACTGTTTGATTCTAGCAACAAATTTCGACACCGACTCGATGCTTGCAAGAATGGTGGACATTGGAAAACCAGGAGCAGGCTTTACAACCAAAATTGGGGAACAAGTTAGCTTTTCAATTTCCGTTGAGTGATGATTCAAGGCTATCTAGGAAATCATGGATTTGACCGTTGCTGCAAAACAACTCTTTACATCGCAGCCAATGATGTTAGAGTGCAATGTGCCGCTCAATGTCTGTGGAGATATTCATGGTCAACTGAGCGACCTTATACGCCTTTTTGATATGGTGAGCATATTAACATGCCATGTTAAAGAGGCTAAATGTGCTAGTCTCCTCCAGGTGGGATGGCCGCCGACTGTGAACTACCTATTTCTTGGAGACTACATCGATCGTGGCCGATGGAGCATAGAGACGATAATGCTGCTGCTTTTGATAAAGGTGTGGACTAATTGTTGATATAAACTAACAAAAGACTTGCTAAATAAATGCTTGTAGTTGAAATATCCTGAAAATTTCCTACTACTTCGTGGCAATCATGAAACGGTAATTGTCAATAGGATATATGGCTTTTATGAGGACCTTATTCGTCGTTTTGCAACTCCACGTTTATTCAATTCCTTTCAGGTTAGTGATGTTATTTGTACTTAGTTTTAAAATCTCATTCATTTAGGATGTTTTTGCAATGATGCCATTGTCTGCGTTGATTTCCAATCGTATTTTATGCATGCATGGAGGATTGTCTCCACAGCTATTGAGCGCTGACTCAATCGAGATTCTCAATAAAATTGTTCGCCCTATAGCAGTAAGTTTACACAAAATCCGGTGCTTTGTGTCTTCCAAACCAAGAGCAGGATGCCTACTTGCAACAAAAGAGTATACTTGCCAATATCGTCAATGTTTTAAAGTAGTAGCTCAGACTGAAACCAATGCTTACAAGAAAGGCGAATTCGGGCGAAAACAAAAAAAAAAGAATTAAACTTGGTAGAAGTACGTGGATATTGGTTCCAGAGAGTTTCTGCTGCTGAATGGATATAACCCAATTTAGCTGTAGCATACGAGAAGAAGCAACCTCAACAAGAAACAAATGATATACAATAAATCACATTAAGTCAGAAGCCTGTCTTCTACAACTTGCCCATACTATCTCATAAACTCCATGAACCTCCCGTCCCACGGTATGCAGCATTCTTGAAACATTCTACTTTTTTCCACCGGGAACCTTATTTCTCATAACAATATCCAAGAAGGAAGCTAGTTCGCATTTAATGGGGCTTTCTTTTTCTGTAAGGTACCAAGAACAGGTATTTGTTAAGCCCCTTCCCAGCAGGATGCTGAACATTCGATTAGAGCTTAGACGCGCCACTTGCAAGACACCACAGCAAACGATTATATGGACGAACTTGACGATCTTCTCTTCTTCAGGATTGCGTGGTCGAGATCCCACATGAATAATCGTGTATTTGTGGTTATCCCAAATAATTCAGCTGTACTTCTAAATGTCTGAGTTGTACCTCTTAAGTAAGCGAGTCTGCTCGATTAAGAAGTCAATCGCTTGCACGTTTTGCAGCAAGCTACAAACGTAATGTTACTTGAGCCTAAGCAAATGCTTTTATCTTCGTCTTGTAAACCACTTAGCGGGTATGAAAGTTAGATTCGATACCACCTTGGAGTCTTTTCACTTAAATGCCTTTCCGGCACTGGAACCATTTAGGATGCAATAGATTCCCTTGTAAAGCTTTTGTGTGTGTCTCCAAAGTTCAGCAAAAGATTGCCACAGATTAATACACGGTGGTTGAATAATAGAAAAATTGGAAAATATGGTTGGTCTGAGGTTTGCTGAGTTTAACTGCCTTTTGATTCGCTTGGAAGGACGGTAAGAAATTGTAAAAAGTGGGTAAGTGGTGTGTCCGTTCAGCGGCTTTCAATGCATCACCTTTGAATGTTAGTATATCCTCTATTTCATATTCTGAGATATACGGAAGCACACAATGTACCTACACCTTGTGCGATATTAGACATTGGTTGTTTTGCATACATTTTTGCGTGCTTGAGAGTTTTCTATATAAAAAGGTAAAAACTGAGAAAGAGACGAGGGAAGAATGTTTAAGCAAGAGTCTCCGTCAAAGTGGCACCCAATGGGCGCAGTTTGTGCAGCGGTTTAAAGTGCTAAATAACTGGACCGGACGTACCACGTCTTACTGCAATACTGACGTCTGCATTTGAAATCACATTGTTGATGATTTATGTATCATCAACCTTGCTAACTCATAATCTTGTAAATTGTACTCACGTCAACATCTACATCAAAATCGTCTCGGTACAACTTTATAGAGTCATTGTTGCACGTTAGCTCATTGATATTTTGTCTTTCGCTTCCTCCTTGCTCGCCCGGAGTGTTGATGATTTATGTATCATCAACCTCAACAATTCTATAATCCTAATAGCTTACGAGTATTCCCCATAGGCTATATTCCACAACCGCTTATATTTAAGTGCCGAATCACTCACCATTGAGTGGCACCTATCTTCCAGGGGCCGCGCCAAGCCGCGGCATCCTCTTTCTTGCATATATTTGCTGGACAGTCTGATTGTGCACGGGTCAGCTCCGCCTTACTACCTATATAAGGAGCCCCCATTGTATTACAAGTTGCTCCCCCGGTCCAAAACCGGGTTCGTCTGTGGATAAATTATATCGACACCACTATCGCCTACGACACTTGGTTCCCACCAAACACATATTAGTTGAAGGCTCTGTGCTGCTTTCAATTTTTCGTTCTCTTAAGTGAAGTTTTCCGCATTGCAGGACCCACCTAATCCTTCGCTTCCACTTGACCTACTATGGGCTGATCCGGACATCAACACAAAACAGTTTAAATTCAGCATAAGGTAAGGAACATATTACTCCAAAAACTTAATCAACCTACAAGTTCGCATCTTAGGGGTTTGTCAGAATTTCGATGTGACTATTTTTGCATCAATGGGGTCATTGATTAGACTGGCGACCTTTATTACCCTAATTTGGCGAGTACAAAACGCGTCCTATTCCTAAACTCAACTAGCCTAAACCCCAAATAATTTCGCGACCACAAGACCTTCTACCGTGCTGCTCCCTACTTGGATTGTGTGGGAGAGGCGACCATATGCGAGGCACAGTGGTGTTGACGAGCTGCTTGCTTGAGAAATTGAAAAAGGTGCGTTGTGTACTCGTAAAATTAGGGTAGATTCGCTGCTTTTAGGTGATCCAAATTTATGAACTGTTAATCACTAAACTGTCACTAGCTTCTAAATCTCTTTCTCTTTTCTGCCTTTTCGTTGGGTTTGTCTAACAGGGAAGTTTTATCTGAGGTGTGCATTTCAAAATAATTTTGAGTGACCTATTTTTTGGACCTTTTCATTGAGCTTCAGTCAAGTTGTTCCTTCAGCACTAACCCGCTTTTCCCAATCTTATAATGAAAAATGCCCCGATTGCAGTATGAGCCAAGATTTAGGATGTTCATTTATTCCCACTAAGATGTTGTCTACCTCTTCCTCAACAAAATTCGCTTCTAAATGGGCGCCTGAAAGGTCTTTTAAAGCTTTCCAAGGGCTTCTTCCTTGATTTTGAGCAGCCATGTTTATTATGATCTCTCTTTCTTTGAGCAGCTTTGTTTATGGTAATAATCTATTTTCTTGTGCGCCGACTACGTGGATAAGGTTGTTGTTTGTTGACCTGTCGTTCTGAGAGATCTTTTTTTTGGAGATTAAAAGAGATTGCAGTTTGCTATAGGCCGTCCGCGCTGCGCACGGATAGCAACGCTGTTGCGTACATTGAAGGCAGTTCACGACTGGAAGAAGCGCAGAGAAAAACAGGCGGCGAGAGTGCACGAGGAAAGAGGAGTGACGCGCAATACACACCTTGCACACTCTCCGCGCCCTGCGCGGACGGCCTATACCCGTTGACGCTGTGTGGTCTCGTCTCTTCCAGCTTTGAATCCCTAAAACCTTGTTTAGGACCCATGTACAAAGAAACAATCCAGTGTGGATTTCAGCAGCCCTATCACCGCGTTATCAGTAGTCAGCACAACTTACGCAAATTACACAGTTCACTTTCCACAAAAATGTTAACTACTGACAACGTTAGGACTAATTGTAGGTTTAGATTATATCTCGCATTTGAAATTAAGGAGTTTGCTCTCAAGCGGTCATTTTCTGACCATTGGTTTCCTTTGGAAACCCATGCATCTCTAGCGTTTGCCGAAATAATATTAGGTTGTAAAGAAAGTTCTGCCAATAGACGCTGAGCTAAATTGTTTTATTTGTATCTTCACCATGAGTGGCTGCCAATTAGCGATATTTTGGCTACATTTACTAACAACCTTAGACTACTGATTAGGTATGTCGTTGATGCTCTTTTCCAAAAAGCGCACAGGTTGCGTTTCGAAACATGTGGAGAGTCCGATTTTTTGAACCCTGAATTCAACGAGTCATTTTCTTGCTTGCAAAAAGAACTAAATACCGGGGCAAGTAATAGTCGGATGCTTCACCTAGCTAATATACAGGGTATGAAACGGATTTTCATATCAATCTTCTGTTCTGCGCATCCATAATCTGAAAAATGTGCGTTTTGCTGACCCAAGCGCAACGGATTTTTCTCCTTTTTGGGCATTTCTTCCTAGTTGATCATCTTTTTTTTCGAGCTGAATAGCGTGTTAGGTAGTTGGGGCCAGTGCTCACTGAGAACACATTTCAGACCACCCCTTGCATTTGCATCCATTTTTGGTATTCGAGAGAAGAATTGGCAGAACTTTCTTTACAACCTAATATTAGATTCTCTCGTAAATCTTTTCATATCTGGATTTTCACAGCCATAAGTCAGTTCTTCTTGTTCTTTCAAAAAGTTGTGGGGTACCATTCTACGGATCAAAGCGAGCTCCACAAAGAGGCGCCTAAGAGTTCGACCAAGCTTGATTTGCATTGAGTCTCGAACCAAAATAAAAAAATCTAATTCTGAAAACAAAAGTAATTGCACCTCAGTTCCCACTCTGCGAACTTCCCACTCACTCATGCATATACTCTCCTCATCATAACATGGAATTGCTGCATTTTTCCAACGGCCAGAAATCGAGAAAAAAAATAATGAGTCGAGTCAAACTTTGCCCGTAGTGGTATTACTAGCTGGCTTATCCGGCTCCGCCTAGCCCTGTCATTACAAATGGTCGATCTGGTTGAAGGGTACCCCCTGTGCCAGCTCCCAGCCCGTAGCTTGAAATTTGCAACAAATCATGAAATCGTTACCTATCAATAACGAAAAGTAGCCTATTACACGTTCCCTGCCCCGAAGAAGTATATGTGTCAAAGTTTTGTCCGGATTGTTTCAGAAACAAAATTTTTTATTCCGCACATACGTGCATACATAGAGCTAGACTAGCTCATTCAGTCAGGGAGTACTGTCACAAACTTGCAGCCTTGCATTTGCTCTAGTTTCTGAGAAGTATCAATTTGAATGTTCGAATATGAAAAGACTAATGAAATAACCTAATCGTTGTGTTACAATGGTGCGCTTTACGCCTAAATCAATGCCATCAGCTTCTACATTTTGTGCTTGCTTAAAGGCGTCGACAAATTGCCTCATCTTTTATTTGCCAAGTGCTCTTTCACCCTCCTCTTTTACTCTTCCGCTTTTTCTTACAAATGATGTTTTACAATCTAAAAGGAGAGAATTGGTCGAATTGTTCCTTCCAGATGAAGTCTATACAGATGAACCTGCCTTTCTGGAAGGCATTAGACCCTTTCCAATTCTGTCTTTAGTCGCCAAGTGCCCACTGATGCCGGTATGCGAATGTTTTTGGTCGAAAACTGCATGCGCGATAAGAAGAAAATCCACCAAGAGCGCTCAAATTTATGGATAATGAACAATTCGTGCAGTTGGTATTTCTAACGCACGTATGGTCACTTCTTTTGAGCCATCGCTCTATCTGGGCGTTGGAGGTACCTTAATTGGGTTTTACCCAGAACCTGCATGCATTGCTGAGACACTCATGACTCGTTCCAATAGCGCAGCGATTACCAGAAAAAATTCGAAATGAGAGTCAAATGGCTTTCTGATGGCACAAAAATCTACCAGGAAGCCCACTCCATCAAATAGACTTTCCTTGTCAGGCACCGACTTATAAACTGCTCCAGATTTGGCATAGTCCCTCTTTGGCTTCCCTCTAGAACATACTAAGCGTCTACGAGATATCCACGTCAAAGTCGTTTTTGATCAAGCTTTGCGAGATTAGCATTGAGTTTGCTGACAAACTCCATCTTTTTTAAATTTCGCCCTTCTAAGCACCCTTTTGGTGGCTCTTCTTTGACTGTCGGATAGATGACGCGAGTAGGGGGATTTTCGAGATGGCGATGGGATAGTCTAATTCGTAGAGAAGGCCTTTCAACAAGCTGTGTACCCGTTACTGCGACTTGTAGAAGGCAACGTCGCAGAATCGTTCACCTACGTCCGTACAAAGCTGCAGATGTTTTGCACAGATTCCGCTTAAGCCGAGGAAGAGATATTGTTGAACGTCATGTCAATGAGCAATCCAACATCGGCCTTTTAACACATAAAAAAGTTATCACAAATCAGATGTTTCATTAAAGGGATAGAGGAAGAATACTCAAAGCTTTTTTAGAGGTGTGAGTTGCACTTTTGGGCCAGATGTGCTACAGACTGTACTGCAGAAGTACGGACTTGATCTCGTTGTGAGAGCTCATCAGGTATGTAATTGTTTCTAACTCACGGGTTACTGGCGCAGAAGACCACAGTGGTAAAAAAGTTGTTCTTGTTTACAAATCTACTCCGAGCGTTGCCTAAGAGGCGATCTGTTAGTAGCAGTTTCGACTAAACAACAACACGGAGAAGATGGGAGAACCGCTCCTTGTTCAATATCGTGTTCTGTACCCCTCTATGGGTTCTGCGATAGAGATCCACGGCACCAGAGCCGATACTACAGGAACAGAAAATCAAAACACAACTTTTACTAAGCACCGGACACAACAAAACAACAAAAAGAATGAAGAAATAAAGATCAACAAGGCAACAACATGAGATAGACGAAAAAACCGATATCTGGCGTGAGATCCGTTCGTGGGCAGGCAGGTCTTGGCGCGCACTGCTTAAGTATCCCTCTAATTCCCGCCATAAGTGCGTTTCGCGGGCTTCTCGTACGGCCCTGATCTCCACAGTTCACTGGAATAGCTCCTTGAAAATATTCTAAACTGAAGACCAAAGCCGTTGCCCTTCCATTACATTCCAACTCTCATCCCCACTGTTACCCTATACTTGTGGACCAATTACGAACATCGCATTACGGAAAGTGCAGAAAATATTGTGTGTTGCTGGAAGCAAATGTTTACAAACGCTTAAATTGATCTCCATGCAATGAACTGTACTATCATAGGCATTCACTTGTCGTGCTAATGTATGCAATATTCAGGTTGTGCAAGATGGTTACGAGTTCTTTTCGAACCGTAAACTAGTTACCATCTTTTCGGCACCGCACTACTGTGGGCAATTTGACAACGCTGCTGCCGTTATGACGATCAGTCCTGAACTGCAATGCTCTTTCAAAGTAAGGCAATCATATTTTGCCAACAATCACGGCTTTCTTTCCAGGTTCTGCGCCCACAGTTCCCCGGACGGAGCATAAAAACTGCTGAGCCTCGGGATGTCACAGTTTACGGCGGAGTTCCCAAAAAATGAGATGAGAGACTAAATGTAATTAATTGACACTGGATTTCTTGCTTGTCCTTGCTTCGAAAATCTGCTTCGAGTAAGAATAAAATCTTTCGTCTTTGGCCATTTCCCAGCTTTCTCGGGAGAATAACGATATCCTAAGTGATGTCTTCATCTTGTAGTGATGTCTTTGTGTTGATATGCATTTGTCATGCAAAACCTCCCATCTTCTACGAAAGTTATTTCACGTGACCTTAATTGTCTGTTTAAAGCAAGAATCACCATAAAACAAAATATATTAGGTCGGTGCAAAAGTTTTGTCAGTTTTTTCAATCCATCGGCAATCGCGCTAGAATGAAGATAAACAAACACTTCAAAATCTATCCGATGCAGAATTTCTTCCTCTTTCCAGCTGCTGAACTCCCATTGTGTTTCGTTGCGAGAGTGACAAGATATTTGATGGAAATTACAATTACTCGTTTTTACCATATCCATATTTCACTAATTTTCAAAATTTTTATATGAGACTTTCGGAGGAGCCCTAATAACCAGCAGGTAGGGCAAACCTTTTGCCAACAAAAGCAATTATTTGTAGCCCTAGCTTGTCTTTCAGAATTTCTACGATTTATTTTTTGAAGTGACAAAATTTTACATTCAGCCTATTTTAACTTCGTAGAACACAAAATGTCAAACATTTTAGTCATTATTCGATGCAGCTTTTTCTCCTTTTTCTAACACTTGTCTTTTTTGCCGAGACAGCGGGAATTTGTGGGGAAAATCGCAGTATTTCTCAATTTCAGGAGTGCGCACTGACGTAACCTACATTTCAAAATCTTGATAATTAGGAGCGAAAATCGTTCATATACTTTGTAGTGGTAGCAAAAGTGATAATCGAGTGGTGAAACCTCAGTACTCTGTAGGTTTTGCAGTGTTTGGTGCAATAACAGGTTATGCGATTTTTCCACAACACAAGACTTTTAGAAAATTATTTAGCAAAAATCTGAAAAAGCAGCTGAAAAAAGAAAAAAATTGCATACGTTGGCAAAAAGTTCGCTCTATCTGGTGGTTATTAGGGATCCTCCGAAAGTCTCATACAAAAATTTTCAAAAATTAGTGAAATTTGGACATGGTAAAAACTAATGGTTGCAATCTTCAGCGAATATCTCATCACTCTCTCAAAGAAACACAATGGGAGTTTAGCAGTTGGAAAGAGGAAGTAATTCTGCATCGGATGCATTTTGAAGTGTTCGTTTATCTTCATTTTAGCGTGACTGCCGATGGATTAAAAAAACTGACAAAACTTTTGCACCGACCTAATATGTTCGGGTGAACATATCGTAGCTGTTCCCTTTATTATTCGGCAATTATCTTTTGACGCACACTTATGAAAATTTGTTATTGTAGCTCCAATATCGAGAGATTTGTCTCATCGAGCCGAGAACAAGTTTCTCTGATCTGGAAAACGCTGTAACTGTTAAGAACGCCTTAAACTAGTATATTATTGCTGAAGACACAAGCGCTAACTTTCAGCCGAACAAAAACCCGAAAAGTAAACGCATTAAGATTCGTCTAAAAACCAAAGATTTTCCCCACACTCGCAAGCAAAAGATATATAGTTGTAGTGATCTGAGATGAGATACATATTGCTTCGAAGGGCATAAAATGCTGATTTCAAATAGTTTCCATATCTCCTGCGTTCCGAACAAGGAGTTATAAGAGTTTAAAACCAGAATTGAATGCGCAGGATTCAGTCTTAAGGTTTTCTTAAGGTTTTAATGGGGCAATAATGATTGCCTGTGGTGCAAATATTCTTATGTTAGATATATACCCCTTCGCGCCTTATTTGAACGCTAGGAAATGTCAACGACTGATTTTAAGCAGATTATGCATTCAATTTTTCGCCATAAAAACCTTCAAATCGCCTCAATCAGAAACTGGCAGGAGATAAGGCGAAATTGGAATAAGTGACAAGCTTTTGAAGGTGGTATACAATTCATCTAAAAGATCACTTGGACCTTAATAACTGGTTAAATGACATTCTTTGAGCAGGACTGATCCCTTTGCGATGACTTGCAAAAGCGACGCACTTGTGCATATGGGAACCGACAAAACCACACGACAAATTTGTAAGAATGGCAACTTGCCAAGTCGCTTGGAAGCCGCGAGATATGCCTTAGGCTAAACACTTCAACACTGTTGGTCTTACGTGCATGTATGCATGTATTGATCGCTAAGAATGATTTTAGCACTTTCGAAAACGGTGAAAACAAATTATTGGTAGCTAGGGCTTTCCTTCCAAATATGTTAGTGGTTTTTATTCCGATGGTCACTAAGTTTGCAGTTTTTTTTGATGAATAAGCATTAGATTTCATTGCGAAGTAGATGGTATGTTCAAATAGTTTTATTATGCTTTGGCGAACTTGTAAGATCAAAGAATATTGAACAAAGCTGCAAGCACTCGTGGATCTGTTGATAAAAGTAGGCGTCTAAGGGTCAAGCGTGCAATCTTCTACCCGTCAATTCAGATCTTGTTCTAATAAGGAAAGCTACCTAACTTAGCCCGGCCTTTTGGTGAAACGCATATCTATCTGAATCAGCTTCAAAACGCTGATTCCAAATATGATATTTTTAGCTGCCACGCGCCATTCCGAAGCGAGTTATGGGCTTTTTCCGCAAAATTGGCATACTATTGAACATGAGAAGACTGCCTGTAGATAAAAATCTGCAAGAAAAAGGTGCTGAGGTATCAAAATAGTATAAATCCAATCTTTTTTCACTAAAAAAGTTCAACGCAGGTGTATCAGCGCTCAAATGATGATGACGTGAAGCCCTTGAGTCGATGAGCATGCCAATTTTGCGCAAGAAAAAGCCCATAACTCGCTTCGGAACGGAGCATGGCAGCTAGGAATAGCATATTTGGAATCAGCTTTTGAAGCTGATTCAGACTACATATGTCCCTTTTCAAAAGGCAGAGCTAAGTTAGGTAGCTTCCCTTGTAAGATGCGTTTTGGTGTAGATATATCTTTGTTCAAATTTTAAGGTATGAATAGCACCAAACGTGATGAAGCATATTTGGATTCGGCTGATTTTCTCGGACATGACAAGCTTTTGGTTTGTGTTCCTTTTTCTTCAAAGTGCAGTAAAAATTATGAAAACTTCAAACACAAAAAGTGTTTGGAGGTGTGAAGCAAAGCCACTGGCATATTTGGCAAGAGCGTGATGGAAAATCCTCGAATACCAATATTCATCCCAATCGGATAAACATGCTGAACATTGGTTCGAACTCACATTGAAACCGCGTTTTCATGCTTTGCTGGATCAAGGATGGGATTACTGCAAGCACAGATCGGCTCTGCATACGATGCTAATTAGTGTTAAATGTATAAATGACAGCTTACGTAACCTTTACTTACGTAACGGCAAATCTTTCGGGTAGGTAATTTTCCTCACCCCTTGTAATGGCCACAAACAAGGATCGAGATAGGATGCACCAAAATCGCTGCTCTCGGACTTCGGCCCCATAACCTCTCCTCCCCCCACCCCCTCCTCCGTTCCCCTACCTTCAAGTCGAACCATGCTGCATGGACAGTGCTCTTTCACGGTAGTGTGTGTCCCAGCAGCGTCCTAGGTACCTCTGCAGCACACACAGCGACGCGGATCCAGGTGCCGTTCAGCCAAGGTTTCGCAGGAAATAGGGAGAGTGCTTAAAGGCAGTGTCCGGGCAGAAACTCGATTTTAAGATTTTGTGCTTACCCGGGTCTATTCGCCACGCTGAATCCGAAAATGCACATTGGAGGGCGCGAAAACGACGAAAAACGGCTCTAAAAGAAGAGGGAAACAGCAGGCGGGCGAGGTCCTCTCCACTGTGAATTCACGCTCCCAGCTTTCGGAGGATCTTCTCGCTTCCGGTTTCAAGTCAATCATTCGTACTTGGCCGGTAGCGATGTTAGGACGGCTAGCAGAATAGAGAAAAGCGCTCCAAAAGCTGGGAACGTGAATTCACAGTGCGGAGGACCCCGCTCCTTGCTATTTCCCTCCTGCGTTAGAGCCTTTTTTTTGCCTTTTCACGCCTTCCAATGTGGATTTTTAAATTCGACTCGGCGAATAGGCCCGTATAAGCGCAAAATCTCAAAATTGAGTTTCTGCCCGGACAACGCCTTTAACAAATTTTGTGTTCTGCTTTGTTTCTGTCGGCTGTGTGTTTTCATCTCTCGTCTCGCTTCTGATTTCTTGCGCTCTCACATCCTCTTACGTGTTTTAGCAGCCTACATTCCCTTGCATGGCACATTGTAAGAGAAGCATACCTCAAAGACATCACTTAGAAGTAGCGCATCCTCCTTCTCACAAGGGAAGCGCGTTTGGTCGAAGTGGCCTTTCCAGATGAGACCCATACTGCTTTGAAGAGCGTTAAGCGGTGATTCCAAATCTGCCTTTCAAATCTACTCAGCGCCTCTGGACGCCGAGTTATGATCGTTTTTAAAGGCAGTGTCCGGGCAAAAACTCGGTTTTGAGATTTTGTGCTTACCCGGGCCTATTGCCATGCTGAATCCGAAAATCCACATTGGAGAGCGCGAAAACGACGAAAAAGGGCTCTAATTCTGGAGGGAAATCAGCGAGTGGGCGGGGTCTTCCCCACTGTGAATTCACGCTTCCAGCTTCCAGAGCAATTTCCTCGAATCCGTTAGCCGCCCTGACATCATTACCGATCAAGTGCAAAAGAATGACAGCGAAAAATGAATGCAAAATTTAGGTAAAATCGATTGTTACAATCTTTCCAGCGCTCAGATAAAGCAATGTTTAGTACTAGCATATTAGACAAAATGTATCCATTGCATAAACGGCACTGACACTTGACACTGGACCATTTGAGCAAATTTGGGCGATTTTGTTGAAGTTCTGCGTTTAATTTTTTTGCCTGAAAAACACCCATAACTCAGCGTCCAGAGGCGCTGAGCAGATTTGGAAGGTAGATTTGGAATCACCGCCTAATGCTCTTTAAAGCAGTATGGATCTCATTTGGAAAGGCCACTTCGACTAAACACACTTTCCTTGTCAGACAAATGACTGGAACTTCCGCAGAGCGCTTGCACAA